ATCTAAAAAGTAGAAAAGCATCTATGCTAGTTTTCAAATTTTAGACACAAATAATCTTTCTTTAACTTTTCAGATTTCAGATTTCATATTTATCAAACACCACCTTAGTTAATTTCCTAAAGCATAAGGGTACTTTAAGAAATTTTCCCAATATAGATTTATAACTGAACAATAAGAGAGATATTCTTTTTTACAGTTTAACATGAACACAGAGAATGAAGAGGAGTAATAATAAACTGTTAAAATGGCTAAAATGAAGGCAAAAAATTAAAAAAGGTTAAATTTCTTAAACTATCGTGATGGTTGAGCTAATTGACTAAGTATACCCTACTGTTTGACTATTGTTTAGCGCTACCCCTACTATTTCTAACAATTGACTAGCTCTACACTTACTGTTAGCACCCGTTAATATTTCGTTAACAAAAAGACAAAAAGACTATTTTACCCTTTATTCTTCTTCAAAATTTCAAAATAAAACAAGGAAAAGGGGAAAGAGAGAGAGTACATGTCAAGATACCACCTTCTAACTCTCTTTAGTTTTCACAATATTGAAATCACACTCTGGTTCCATTGCTGCTTTCTTCTTCCTAGCTGCAACTGACAGAGATTGACCAAGAGAAAATTTGGAAGAGAAATTAGGGGGGTTCTCCCAGTTGTCAAACCACTCTCTCAAACTTCTCTAGATTCAAAGAGAAGTTTGAGATAGTAGTGTTCTTGACATGTACTCTTCAGAAAATGGAGGAAGAGCGACAATAGTAGTGTTCTTCAGAAAATCATTTGGGAAGAGCGACAATAGTAGTGTTCTTCAGAAAATCATTTGGGAAGAAGATGAGATAATGGAGGAGAGAGACCGGATCCATAGGCACAACATAGGAAGCACATCCAGTGAGCACTTTATAAATATTTTGACAACTGTTAAAAGTTGTCTTTAATCTTTTTCAAGAGTAGGTTGGGTGTATTTCAAGGGACAGGTGTCAAAAAAATTTGAAAGTGCTCATTTAACGTGCTCAAAATGTAGTGCCTACCTGATTCGGACTCAGGAGGAGATCCATTAAGAAGTAAGCAATGCTGAAATCAAGTACCAAACTTTGGGAATTGGTGTTTGGAGAAGCGAAGCTGTGAGGAGATTGTTTTAGTAGAGCAAAAATGGCCAAGAAAACCACAGGAGTTCCATGGACTAAAGAGATGAAGCAACTAGAGGCTTTAGGGTGGTGTTTCGGGCTCCAATTGGTGAAAACAATGTTTCAGATGCTTGAAAAGTTTAGAAAGGAGTGCGGAAAGTTTTTGGTGCCTACTACGGTTGCTTGAAATTCACGAAGGAGTCTAACTGCAAACCGAAAGAATCATCACAGTCGGCCTTGAACGCAACTGTCAAAAACCCACTTGGTGCCACCAACTACAATGTCTGTCGTTGGTGCTATAGTTGTCGAGCATCACTATGCAACAAAAGCATCATCTTGAAGAAAGAACTCTATGAACCTATGGTCGGTGAAGATCAAACAAAAAACCCTAAACTCTGATTCAATCTCTCACCAAGAAGAAATCAAGCTCTAAGAGGACCTCCCCCCCTCAGACGATTAGAAAATCTAGTTTGTGCCTTTGGCTTATGGGATTCAACAAAAACGTTGAGAATTCATTCCCTCGTCAAAATTCTTTGCTTCGGCGTTTCTACAGCTAAAAGCGACTTCGCAACACAACGTTAAATGTCGAGCAAGTCTTTCAAGGTGATCGCATTTCAATGACCTCAAACTTGTAAGATTTATCTCTCGTGTGATACCAACTCGTTCCTTCTCATGCTGATACATCAATGCAGATGTCGGTGCCAGTGCTGGAGAAAACCAACTTCAAACCCACTCCCTCTCCCACTCTAACTAATACCAGTGATTGGCTCAACAATATAAGGGCACTTTAAGGTAGAATCGTTTCTCCTAAATGAAAAGGGCATTTTTTGAATATAAAAGGATAAGTTGGGTATTTTTGGAAGTTATAATAGTCACGTGATGGCACATGTGAACAGTTTATGACACAAGGGAAGTATTAATCAATTGTCAAAAATAGTAGAGGTATCATTAGACAATTGTCAAATAGTGGGGGTATATATACTTAGTCAATTCGCTAAACCATAAGGGTAGTTTAAGAACTTTATCCAAATAAAAAAAAAGCAAAACCATGGTAGTAGTGGCATTTACCTTGCTTGGCAAGTTCGTTGATGAAAGCAGTGACAAGAATAAAAGCCAATGGTGACACTCTACAATGTAGAGCTTGAAAATTAGACAAAATGAAACATGGGGAAAAATGAGTCACGAGTGTATTCAAACAATAGGTTCACCAAAATCAATGTCAAGGATGGGAAGAGGAAGCCTAGTAAACCTTTAATAGCAAGGATAAGTGTTCTAAATTCTAATGAAATGTAGAAGAGGAAAGTGTTGTATTTGCCACAAGGCTTTTATTGCATTTCATGTTGGGATTAGTGAAGTGTGAAGCATCGTATCAATTTTAATTTGGTGTGGCGAGTTACCAATTTAGGTGATGTTTGGCATGCATGATGATTTCTTTAAAATCACTGCCATGTTGGAGCCACATCAGTGTTAGAGGAATGGGCA